TGCCCCATGAACTGCGTCATTTAGTTTTCCGCGTCGATTGTAGGGGGGCGTCGGCGCATCGGGGAGGGCGAGCGACGACGTGGAGGAGGAAATCAACGATCAGAAGAAGGTCGGTGGCTTGGTCGAGGAGGGTGCAATTCGTGGTCTGGAGTGTAGGGAATATATGGTCGTACTCATACGAACGTGGGTTTTCACGTGAATGGAGTGGGCAGCAACGGCACAGACGTGCGACGTGTCAGCGTAGACCACACGAAAAGCAGATTGGTCGGTTGTCGGCAGTGCGCCATGGATTAGGGACTCGGTGGACAGGAGATCGTGGCGGCTGGGCGGCATAAACAGGAGCAGGCAGTGGAGGCAGCGCTTTGAACGTTTGTGGTCGTGGTCGTGTTGCTGCTTCGGCATACGTCAATGGTGCATTAACTGGTGGCACCAGCTGCGTAGGAAGGACCTCAGACACTTGGTCTTGTATAATAGTTTGTAGTGTAGGCCTAAGCGGCGCACTGCGCTCCGGAAGGCCGGAGATGAGTGACAGTTGGCGGGCAACTTCTTCCCGCACAAAATATTTGATCTACGAGAGGAGGACGGGATCTTGCGAGGGAGTTAACCCGGACATCGATTCCTTATGTGGGACAGCACGGCGGGTGATGAGACGTTGCCGGCCGAGCTCATCATAGCTTTGGCAGAGCTCTAACTTGAGCGACAGTAGCCGGGCTTTTTGAAATGTGCATCTAGAATGCGTCCTCGTCAATACCCTTAAAAATATGCTTGATGCGGTCCACCTCTGTCATGTTCTCATCGACACGTTTGCACAAGTCAATGACGTCTTCTATGTAACTGGTGAAATTCTCACCAGGCAGTTGAGATCTTGACAGAAGGCGCTACTCCACACAAAGTTTGCGAACAGCAGTACGACCGAATACTTCGCTGAACTTTGTCTTGAATGCTGTCCAGGTTGGAACGTCGGCTTCGTGGTTCCGCAGCCACAAGTGGGCAATGCCACTAAGGTAAATGCCGACGGTGGCCAGCCTCGTGGCTTCGTCCCATTTGTTTAAGACACTCACGAGTTCGTAGGTAGCCAGCCAGCCGTCAATGTCGTGGCCGTCAGTGCCGCTGAATATGGGAGGGTCCCGCTGACGGACCGCACCGGAGCACACGATGGCCTGGGGAGCCATAGGCGGAAGACTTGTGGCAGATGCAGTGGTCATAGCGGCAGGTGGAGTCCGGCTTCATAACTCTAGGATTGCGAGGAGACCCAGCACCTCCAGCAAATATATTAAAGAATTGAGACAGTCAGAACTGTTATTTCAGACGAGGTAGGAGCGTAGGCCTAGCCAGCGAAAGCAGCGACAATGTCAGGGGCGAGCGTCTCGTGCTTAGCACTGACGATGTGTTTTTCAAGCTATGCATGACCCACTACTTCATTACATTAGAATTGTCAGAACTCAACAAAATTTTGTACATAGCATGATGAAGGCCTGTAGAGTGCAAGCATATATTTTTATTTCCAAAGTTGCTAGCTATGTTTTCCAAAATATTACATAACATTGAAAGCCCTTGGCAACTAGAGCCATGGTAAATTCTATTTTATTATTGTATTTTACCTTTTTACACATGAAACATGTATAGTTTTTTGCACTTTACAGTTCCAAAGGATCAGAGTGAGCTATATCTGCATGCTTTATCTCAAAGTTTTATAGGTCAGAATTATCACATAACAATGGTCATCATTTGCAGTATCTGAGCTGCAGAAATAAAGCGAACAAGCTACATGAAAATAAGTAACATATTTGAAAAGAGTAGAAAAAAACTCTTTTAGCATGCCGATTTGAGTTCAATTCAGACTCTTATTAAAGAAAATAATTTCCCGAGTAGCATCTCCCCTTAATCCGCATTTTACTGTAGACACATTGTTGTCTCTTGTATCAGTGTCCCTCAGAAAGGGGTTCGACTGTAGTTATAATGCAAATATCGAGAAACAAAACATGACGAACAGATAACTCGCCACTGGCAGAAACAGAAGCTGCGACCTTCAAATAGCGCGTCCGATGCTCTACCACTGAGCAACGGCGGCAGCCATTTCTCCATCCACTTCATAGGGTACATATGTGCATTTAAACGTGGCAGGGTCTGTCAGCACCACCATTACTGCGAGTGTGGAGCACTTTTAGTGGAACACAGCAATAAATGCATTATGACTGTTGTTGCAACAAAATATCAGCCACACTGAAATTCATTTGGGCGTAGTTCGCACATAATCCAGAGATTAAATCCGAAGTTTGATGGCATTCTGTCTAAATGCATAGTGCGAACGTCCAAATCAACGAAATGTTTACTCGGGGTTTCAGAAGCCTACCAAGGCTCCCGTCAAAAAGCTTCCCATACGGGGAGCCCAAACGTTCAGAAAGCATTTTGTTCTTTTTGGTCGGCGCATCTTTTCGAATTCACGCTATGTTCCCGAGACAAAGTTGGAGCGCCAGCAGACACAGGCCCCACTACGAAAAGACGTGACGCACGCAAGTGCCAACTATCAATCACTTTATTCCGTCACACGTCAATGCATACACAGGCACGAGGCAACCTGCTCGCAACTAGCGCGCAAGACAGCTCTGATCAAAAAGCGATACATGGATGACAGCCAGTGTATCAGACATCTAAACACATGAAACCACGTTCAGGTGAGCGATACCCCATTGTCCCAGTACTCACCCGAACAGGATTTCATGCATTCGCATATCAGACACACGTATCTAATACTTACTTCACTTTTCGAATATAGCTGCTGTGTGTGCATGGTGCAGCAGGCTTGCTTGAGATTTCATAGGTATTTTAGTGTGAAGTGATAAAGTAGTAGCATGTATTGTGTGGGATTCCTGCACCAAACACTTGACACTTCATGGTTTACCAATACCAATCCGAAACGCGATGCGATCCGATTCATTTTGTTGTTTTTTCCGAATTATCACTCAAAGAACTCCCCAACCGGCCTTTTGCTAGCTAATAGCATCCACGCATGAAAACTACAAAAGAAAATTCACAGAGAAATTCACTTATTTCCTGAAGAACAATCACTGCTCTGTCCACACTAATTCCTCGCTGGTAGCATGGCAAATGAGGCATCGTCATGCACAATCCATAACACATTATGTCACAAGAACTAACCTCTTCAAATATTTCCTTCGTGCTACAACCGACTGGAACAGCTCGGCTGTAACTAATCTATGCCACATTTGCGCTATTGATACAGTAAGTTGTTGAACATGCCGTGGCTTCTTTATCGCCTTCTGTATATTATGTCATTGCGCTAATACATTATCTGCACCTGTGATGTTGTGCAGTGTCATTTTTTCTTGTTATTTTCAGCTTCCAATTGTTCATTTCGCAATATGCTTTACATCGTGTTAACGAATTGTGTTATTGTTCTTTATTCATGTTCATCTCCTTTTTCTCTACATCTCTTATATTCTTATGCCCTTACTGCTTGGAACCTTAGCGGGTCTGCAGATTGTCATACTTAAGTAAAATTTAAAAGATAGCTGCTGTTCGTGTGTATCGTGTCTTTTCTTCACGAAGCACATTGTGTGTCTGAATTGTAACTTTAGCCTCAGCATGGTAGGAAGAAACGTGCCATACGTGTGTCATACATGGTGTGTGTCATGAGCCAATGAAAGTAGGCAACAGATACTACGGTGGCCAATAAGCTGGGTAAGATATGTGCCACTGTGCAGGGAGAAAATGAGCAGGTAAAAGAAGAGAAGTGGACTGACGTTTGTTTCATAAGATACACAAACATATTCCTCGACAAGTGCGGTGTATACACGGTTCCTTTCAGCTGCCAGGGGCTCGCGCTAACCGGGGGCTCACCTTCCAATCTTTCTTTACAGTGTTGAAAGTGTAAGAGCCTGTCGAAATTCGATCACTGAACAATTTAGTACCAGTACAGGAAAGACGAAACGCATCTGATGATTGCGGTATGGCACATTGATAGTAGTAGCGCATGCGTGAGCTAACTGTTGACTAACTTGCATAACGATGAAGAAAAATCTACGCATATCTTTGAAGTGATGGCCGGTGATAGGGCGAAGCAGTGCGCATCGGATCGTAAATCGTGGCCTTTTACTCTGCTCTGGTTAACAACCTTTTATTTTCTTCTTGATCACCTTTTGTTCTCTCATATACTGGGCAATTAAACGTCGGTGTTTTTCCGGCGCTGTGGCCTTTAATTTTGTTTGTTCGGGTTGCACCTTTTGATAAGCTTTTTGTTCACAGGTTTTTCGTTTGTACATCGGCTGTAGACGTTGGGTGACAGTTAACGAATGGAGGGAGATCGTGCAGCCTTAAGGAGCTTCACCCCTAATTGATAAATTCACATGGGCAAGCGCAGATAAGTTCTCGTGCCTTCTTTCCTTACCTTCATGAGCATCTTTAGTTGTCAATCGGCATTTGTCGTGTCAAAACTTTTTTGTGTCCATGTTTGCATGCCCCGTCTCTGTAATGATTACTCACCAATCATTGGCTCTGTTTTTTTAACCCCAGTACTGAAATAATGTTCCCTAGATTTGACGAATTTGCGGATGGTTCTTTGTGGTTTTTAAGACTATTTGCTGGCCTAAATGGTGCTTACTTAAAAGACATTGCTTATTTAAAGTCACGAATCAGAACACACACAATGGGACAAACATGATGACAGGGCTGGCGGCACCTATGCTCATCCTCATAGTATCTGTTGGAATCAACAAATTCCGAAAACATTCAAAAGTACATACACTCAGACTTCAACATAACGAACCCATATTTAACAAAAATACGAGCTGTAAGGAAGTAAATGAAGAATACTCTTGCTGTAGGTATAGTGTTAGGAATATATCATTACAACAAATTTTCGGTTGATGCCAAAAACAGTTCAGCTGGAAGCGCCAGCCATCCCACCATCGCGTTGCTGCCTCTGTGTGTGTCCCCATTCGCAACTAAATTATACAAGTTCTTCGTGAAGTGGCTCTCACCATGCGTATGATCTCCGGGTAGACTGGCTCTGTGAGCACCCCACGGCCAGCGGTGACATAGTCGACCAGCTCGTTCAGCGTGGCCCTCTTCACCTCCTTGCCCTTGATGTCGGCCACGGGGTCCATGAAGTCGAAGACGACGCTGCACTGCCGCAGCTTGCGAATCAGAAGCTCCTCCTGCTCCCCGGCGCCTACATCTGCACAGAGTCATTGATCGATTTTGTTAACTACTCTGCTAGATATGATTACCAAAAATATTTAGTACAAACACAGAATTAAGATGTTTAAATGCACGCTAGGTTGTTTTTAGCTGTCGAGAAGTTTGCACAAGGACTTTTGTCAAGCTGCTGAATAGTAGCTTTTTGTTCTTGTTCTCATGCTCATCATCTTGCTATAATGAATGCCAATCGATTGACTGACTGACTGATATCTGACTCTACAAAATGCCATTCTGCTCGAAGCTACCAGTTGCACTAAAATGCCCAGGTGACATGCTTCGCATTGCGATTCAACAATAGCGGTTGGTGTTTCACATCCGAAAACCACAATACGATTGTGAGGGATGCTGCAGTGGAGGGCACATGAAATTTCGACCACCTGGGGTCTCTAACATGCACCTAAATCCAAATGTGCGGACCTCTACCGTGCCGCCTACATCAAAATGGAGCTGCCGCGGCCGGGATTGAGTCCTGCGACCTTTGGGCTAGCAGTAAAGAACAACCGCCAATCCACCACAGTGGGCGACATGCTTTGCATCCAACAGGTTCTTTCAGACCACTGCCCTTAAGCCAGGGCACATCGAGGTGCCCTGTGCAAAGTGCCATTTACTGCATAAGCATCAAAAATGAACATAAACAGTTATAGACTACGATTAACTCAATAAAAACAAGGTCTGATGTCTCATACTTGAGCGGTGCTTAATAACACTGATTTTCGTCCAAAGGTGCAAAAGGACATTGACTGTCAGTATGTTGTCAGAGATACACTCTAAAAAGGGTGCCTTTTTGTCCCAAAACAATTATCACCTAATTTGCTTGTGCTTCCTTTCATGAAAAGTCTGAGCTGGCCGCTTTCCTATCAAGAACGCTATGTCACACTGATAATGCGCATGTTGTTCGTTACCTGAAAGTGCCGGGAGCGTGGCACTAGTGCATGGAAAGGAACGCAAGATAAACAATCATTCTTGTGGGGCAAGAAGACGCCAATTTCACTAGATCTGTTCTTCGAGTGTATCTTCTAAAGAAGTCAAATCGCTCTCAGAGTGAACTCTAGAGTAAGAGCCGAAGGCACAAGCTAGGGACGAGTGTGAAACAAGCAGAAAAAAAAAAAGGTTTCTTTTTGTGTACATCAAATGACAAACTTTCCAACATAACCGAAAATTCTGCATAACTTTCAATTCCACTATACATTCATGATCAATGCAAGCGACATATATCTCCTTTTGTACCCAGTAAAAGCTAGAACAAAGGCCGAGTGAGCTTCGACCACTTCAGCTGCTCACATTACTGCAGAAAACATTTGGAGCCGCACATTTCAGAGAGAAATGTGAGTCACGCAATTCCAAGGAATGTTATGCGTCATGTGTTTACGTCACAGAACATGACACACTATCAATGAAGAAGGCATTACACAGAGCATAATTCATTACACAGAACATAATTGCTCATGAATGCAGTGACATGACTCTGCAACCAAAGCACATGGCTTGTGTAGAACACAATGGAAGCACAATGGAAGCACAATGGAATAGGATCAGTATATGACCTCAACTTCCCATCCCACAAGTCTGGGGGTTTTCAGCTTTTCAGTCACACAGAAAATGTGTGTATTTGGACCAACCAGAAATTTGTAGTTTCCAGCAGTCCAATGTATGAACATAAACAGGTCAGTTGCAGCACTTTCGAGCATATTATTAAGGGACAATATTTATCGGCGAATTCTAAAAAACATTCAAAAGCACAAAAGATAATTGCACAAAGCAAAAGGTTCTTAGGGAAGTTTGTTATTGAGGTGGAAGAACTCTCTACAAAGCTTGACAGTGCCAGCAGCCTTAACCTCTGGAGATGTGTTACGTATTTTAGTGCCACTAAGTCCAGTCTTAGCCCTTTCAGCCTATGCAATGTAACGATTTGATAAGTTAAAGTTGCCATTGAAAGCATGTCTTGTACCTCAAGCTGGTGAAAAAAAAAAAAAATGCCCCGAAATCTGTGCCCCCATTATGCGACAAACTGTTTTCAAAGCCCAAGAGGCATGCCTCGGCCATTGACCGAAGAGCCGGTGTCGCTGCATTTGTTAGGTGGTAGTCAAGTCCAGATCTGCAATGCCTTCGTTGTAATAACGGCATCACATTTAGCACTGCAAGAGTGCTACTCAAAAACTTGCGTCGAATTACATGATCAATATCTGTACTTCTTAAACGTGATGCTCTAAACATGCTTTTTTTTTTCATAAATGTGAGCAGCTACAAAAGTTTACGAAATGTTACCGACGGAAGTGGAAATCTTACAAATGCACAGTGCCTCGTACATATGTCCGTAATATTACACACTAATATTAATGTGCTGTAATATAAGACTATCAAAGTTCTCCATAACTAAACATATGGCATAGTACAAAATGCAACGGGCGCTTTACTTCACTTCTTTGGCAACAACAAGAATAAGTGAAATGATCTCGTTTGGTGCACACAGAGGGCACACCTGATTGACACGACCATCACACAGTGTAGCAGTGGCAGAGCTGCCTGTTCCTGGTAAAAGGCCGCGACGCTATCCCCCCCCAGGTGGGGTTGCACGCACTACTATCAGCCATTATCAGCCGATGCTCGCTCGGGCGCACCACAACGCGCCGCGAGGAGACGGGAGGGCTTTCGCAAAACAACTTCCTTTTCCGGCCAATCCCACCTATGTCTATTTATTTATTTTTTTCTTTCAGAGTTTGCTTCTCTAGAGCGAGTCCTTTCGCAAGAGATGACATGCATCGCATCGACGGCTGCCGTCATTCAACAGCCGCACCTCCCCCCCCCCTTTTTTTTTCCCCCAAGGCCGGGCGAGGCGTCGGAGTGTGCGACAACGCGTGCATCCCCCCTTGCACGCACGCGCGATAGTTGGAACGGGTGACGAGGGCGCGAAGCATTGTGACAACTCAGCCGTGCGCTGACGAACGACAGCACGACAAACAAAAGCCGCCCGTCATGCCTCCCCCGCCCATTTTTTTTTATATATATAAATATATAAAAGGGATGCGGAACCGCAAGGACCAACAACGGAAAGACGAGCACCAGGAGAACCCAAAGATAGACATGTGGGGTTTAACGTCCCAAAAACCACCACACGATTATGAGAGACGCCGCAGTGGAGGGCTCCGGAAATTTTGACCACCTGGGGTTCTCTAACGTGCACCCAAATCTCAGCACACGGGCCTACAACATTTTCGCCTCCATCGGAAACGCAGCCGCCGCAGCCGGGATTCGAACCGGCGACCTACGGCAAGGCATGGTGTTTCGATCGAGCAGTGTTTGTTGGCCCGGTATGCTATGAGCACCACTGGAGACATTACAAGGCCCAACTATGGTCGCAGTGGCTTAAAAAATGCAGATGTGCTCTGTCTGTGGTCACTGTTTTATCCATGAAAAAAAAAAGAACAAGTCTAACATCAATCCACCCAAGAAGATAAGGTCAGCAATGTAGTCACCAAGTCACCTAGGAAGACACCATTAAGCAACAAAAAAAAAGAAACTTTCTCTCTTCCCCCTTTTAAAATTTATTTTTCATTCATTTTCCTTTTCTCATTTTATTTTTTCTTCATACCTCCTCCTTTATTTATCATCAATATTATTTCTTGGCCTCTACCCTATTCATTTAAGTTTATTTATTGGTTCAACCCTGTTATATTTGTGGTACGGGCTCTGATACATTTATTTTTCTTTTGCCCCAAAGTAAATGTATGTACACAGTCAGCAATAACCTCACAGTACAGCAACATAAAGCAAATTACATTCATTTGTTCTGAAAGACACCAAACACTTCCACAATCTTTAAGACTGTTGATCTGCCCGCACATCTCTTTTTAAGCCGCTCATTTTGGTACAGAATTGAAACGTTTTGCCAAATCTTGTAGGAGATCCCGAAGTCAGCATTCAGCCAAGATAATATTTTAGCTGAAAGCAGCAAACCTTTCCTGTCCAGTAACACTTTCTTTTATAACGGAAAAGCCAATACACCTAAGCTGGGAGCCTTTTTTCAGCCGACACGGCATTGATAGAGCTGAAGGGCAGGGTTCATCACAGTTTTTGTAGTTGTAGCTCGTACCGAATTCTTTGATTGTCATGGAGTACAGCGTGAATCCTGAATTTCTTGCATCACGAAGGTTACACTCCGTATACCACGAAACCACGATATGACTATAAAGCACACTGTTGTGGAGGGTTTCAGAAATTCCAACCACCTGGAGTTCTTTGACAGGGCACCTGAACCTGAACGCACGAAGCTCTATCACTCTTTGGAAATGCAAACGTCGTGGCCGGGATCAAACTCTCATCTTTCACGTCAGCAGCCGAGCACTGTCACCACTGCCCCACTGCACTGGCTTTGCAAAGATGTTATGGGGAGGAGTTCCGGATGATGTTGACAACATGCAGGTGGGTAGGATAGAGAGAACAAAAAAAAATAATGCAGGGTAGCTGCCATCAGAAAGGAGAGATGTCGTAATGGTATGACTTCATATCTTATCAAGCACGCAAGGTGAACAACACAACATTGTGTGCCGGAGGCCTCTCTGTGACGCTGAACGAAGTGGGGAAGTAGTGGAGAGATAAGCTATCGAAGAACTCCCAAGACGAAACTGACATCGGTCACAAACTGGAAAGGACGTCGCCACAGAGGTCATCGGAGAAACTGTGACGCTGCATTTTCATCCTTTATCGCTGTTGCGAGAAGAGAGCGCCACTGCACCTCCTCCCTTCTCCCCATCTACAGCCCTAAAGATTTTCATGTCACCAATGATTCATTATGGGTAGTAACAGCGCACAAACTCACGGGACGAAGAGAAGTAACACACACAAGCGCTGTGATAGTTGGGCTAGTTGGTGATACATTATGGGCAGTAACAACGCACAAACTCACGGGACGAAGAGAAGAAACACAAACAGGTGCAGGACTATCAGTCCTGCTTCACCGATGATTCACAAAATTTTATG